TATCATGATGCTCAAGCATATGCTGAATATTTGATTACATACAAATAAAATTGAATAGACATTTTTATTATTTAAACGAGAGTATATTCTAAAATAAGTAATTCTTTTTAAGTGTATTTCTTGTAAATAGAAACAAAACTGTGTTACGATTCCTTTTTTTTTCTGATTTGTTGTATGGAGATTCACATTAATTTTCTTAGAAAGTTTAACATTATTTTCAAATTATCAACATATCTATAATTCGAATAAAATCATAATTACAATGTTTGCCTGCTAAAATAATATTATAAGATTTTTCTTTTATAAAACTGAACCATATAAATACTATCATTATGCAATTAAATCAGCAAATCTTTCAGCACGAATCATTGCATGTTTACATTATTCTTACATATATTCATGCATGCAACAACCAATATTAGTAGTCAATGCATGAAAAATTTCTAGTGATAATGAATGAACATTTTTCCTTGTTCTTTTAGACTAATTAACAGGTAAGTAATGGCTCATTGTATCAAAAAATTATACGGATAAAATGTTCATCCGCTTCTTCTTTTTTTTCAATGTGACACAAAAAAGTAACAAATGGCTTTAATTAGTATTGAATAAAATCAAATTTTTGTTAAAGATCAGATGTCAATAAATGAGTATGATTTTAATAAATTAACTTGTCATTTTATCTTTTCTCAAGTATATCTTCATTCTTTTTATAGTTATATGATGAACATAATCTTAGAAAAAGACATATTTCAATAAGCAGTCATCATTTTCAACAAAAAAAGAAAAAATGTTATGTCATTAACAGATATAGAGTTTTTTTTTTTTTTGTGTGCACTTTGTAAAAGGAACATATGTCAAATATTTAATATAAATAATTTTTATTTATTATTACATGTAAAGTATTACTGTAATGATAAACAGAAATTTTATAAATAAAAAAGATTAGGAAGAAAAGGAAAAATATCGTAGTCATAAATTAACTTGAAATAAGCAAATAATAAAAAAAACATTTATTATTAAACTATAATCAAAAAAATATAAAATAAATGATTTTATTCATTTCTCTTGACTAATAATCTTAGAAAAATCAAGTTAATTGTTCTTATTTTTCTTTTTCTATGGATGTCAATTACATCAAATTTCATATATTTTATATTACTCTTATAATATTTGCCTTTTCAATTTTCGTTCTTATGCTCAAACTATGACAGAAATATACTTCATTATATAGTGATTGGCATTATTATCGTGCATAATTACGTACACTATGCTAATATAATAGCATATAGACCATATAATGCATGTGCATTTAGTTAAAAATCCGCTTGTGTTAATGTTAGCAATATGGTAGATTTCAGATTCTTTTTTCAGGCTAATAACCTAAACGAGAAAGAAAAGAAAAAGAGAAGAAAATGTCTTTTTATTTGGTAAGAAGAAAAAAAAGTGTTCGGTAAAGGAAAGGAAAAGTAAGTCGCTTTTAGCTAAAAAGAAAAATTGCTGTTCAAGGTACGTATTAATTTTTTTTAAAGCAGGATTTTTTTTTTTTTTTGATAGATTATATTAACTATCGCATGTCGAGAATGTATGGTTAGTGTCTTAGTTTAGGTTAGAACATTTTGATATATGAAATTCTCCGGTGAGTTAGATTGATCATAATTGAAAAACCTTGATGATTTTATGTTATAATAACAATATATAGTTAAAAGTTAAAATTGTTTTTTTTTATTCTTTTTGCAATTGATCAAATTTAATTTTTCAAGTATAGAAAATAATACTTAAAATGTAAGTAAATAAGAAATAAATACAATTCGAAATGAATAATAAGTTATCTTCTCAAGTAAGAAGAAGAAAAGAAAAACACATTGTGCATTGAACTAGAATTTATCTAAAGCGTTTATACAGGATGCTTATTTATGTCCTGCTTTTTAGTTAATATAGAAGAGAAAAAAAAAATGCAATATTAAGCATTATAGACATTCACCTTTTTTTCTTTCTTTCTTTCTTTCTTATAAGAACAGAAAAATCAAAAGATTTAATGAAAAGAAAGAATTCCAATATATTCAATATTTTTATTCATGTTTATTTTTAGATTTTAATCGACATGTTCAATTTCATTGATGATCATTTACTTGATGATATTTTTTCACGAACTGAACAATCACGTCTTGCATATAATTTACAAACAGAAGAATTTCATAATCTTAATGAAAATCTTCAAACATATTTAAATGATATTAAAAAAATTGATGATGAAAATCATCAATTACAAAATAATATTGAACAAATACGTACAAATTATATAAAAATATTAGAAAATCATTTAAAATGTTTACCTGAAGATTTTCGACAAGAAAGTCATATATTAACAGAAGCACATATTGAACGTTATAAATCTAAATCACATGCTAAACGTTTTATTAATGAACGTGAAGAACTTAAGAAACGAATTAATTTTGTTGCTAGTAATGAAAAAGAACAGATTAAACGTTTAAATACTTTACAAAAACAACAAAGTTCAGTTGAAAAGGAATTAAAAAATTTAAATGAACAATTACAAAATTTATATAATTATGTTGAAAATGAAAAACAAACACATCGACAAGCAATGGATAAAGTTGATGATTTACAAATTCAACTTGAACAAATTTGTATTGAACGATCAAAAGCTGAAGTAAAAAAAAACAATTGAAATTTTATCCTATGATTTTATATTCTTTTGTTTAGTTTGAAATTCAAACTTTACGAGAAGAACTTAAATTAATGCATACAACAAAAGAATTTCTTGATGAAGAACATCAAACAATATTATCTACACAAACTGAAGCAAATGAATATTTATTATCATGTCTAAATGAATTCATATCACGTACACGTGATGATTTTAATGAACTTAATAAAACTCAACTTAAACAATTAGAAAATGAATATAAACAAATGATGATGACTGTAGAAGAAAATTCTTTAACTAAAGCAACTATAAATGAAACAATGATCAATCAACAACGTTCAATACAAATAGAATGTGAAAAACTTCAAGATGAACATCGATCTATTACACAAGATTTAATAGAACTTAATAATTATAATCAAATTTTATCTGAACAATTTCTTGCTATGGTAAGCTTGATTTATATTTTGTTTTTTTTTTTTGTTGTTGTTATTTTGAAATATTTAAATAGGAAGCTGATTTATATTCAATACGTAATGAACATGTACAAGAATTAATAACTAAAGATAATGAATTAGAACGAAGTAAAATTCAATTACAAAGTTTAAATGAAAAATTAAATCATTTAGCTGAATATGATCGAAATTTAAAATTTGAATTAACACTTTATCGAGGAGTTTTAGAAGGTGAATATCGACGAAAACAACAACAACAACAATTAATGAATAATCAACATCCTTCACGACCAACTACTTTACGAACAACAACAATACGAAATCATAAAAATTCTCCGGTAAGAATATGAAGAAAAAAGTAAAATGCTTATTTGAATTTTTAGATAATGTTATAAAGGAGAAAATTAGAATAAAAACTTAGAAGGTGTTAAACACCGGAAAAACCGTTTATTTGTTTCATCTTTTTTTCGCTTCGAAAATTTTTTAAAGTGTTATTTTATAATTTGCCATCGAAAACCGTATATTAAGGAGATGTTTGATTTATTTTGAAGCTAAAAATTTGTCCCGTATGACCAGCGATCCTACTTGGGTATTCTGATATACAATTTTAGAAAGCGAAAATGGAAATTGTCGATTCCAGATGCAAAATGAATATCATATTCGAAATCACCATAAAAAAACTGCGTTGAATTACGTATGTTTCAAGGAAAACGTGAGTAAAGTTAGCACCGGATTCGAGTTTTTGCCGTCCGGATCCGTTCGTGTACTTGAGTCATATTTCGTTCAATTTGAGTTAGGTGCAGAATTTTATGGCAAGTCCGATGATGTAAAGATCAAGGAGGGAAGAGGTCATCGAGCAAAAACTGACATTTGATCCCGAAATACTGAATTTTTCAAAATTTTTTGAAAAGTATTTGCTGTTCGGATTCACTATTTTACTTGAGTTGGGTTCAGCATGAAATTCTGCATCGAATGATATCGATTTAGTATGGGGTTATCAAGCAAAAATTTTTCACCTTACTCAGCCACGTCTCCTCATAGTGACCCTCACCCATATGAAAGATTATTTTCCCAATGCCCCATACTAAATCGATATTATTCGATGCAGAATTTCATGCTGAATCCAACTCCACCATCTTTAGACTCAATTCAAGTAAAATATCGAATCCGAACAGCAAATACTTTTCAAAAAATTTTGAAAAATTCAGCATTTCGAAGTCAAGTGTCAGTTTTTGCTTGATGATCTCCTTGATCTTTATACCATCGGATTCGCCGTAAAATTCTGTACCTAACTCAAGTTGAATGAAATATAACTCAAGTACACGAACGGATCCGAACGGCAAAAACGCGCATATAGTGCTAACTTTACCTACGTTCAAGGAAATGTATTTTCCACCCGCTGGCCTACAGATAAAATTTTCCGAAGAAGTAACCTGAAGTCAGTTTCCTATAGAAAAAGTTTTTTTTTTAATTAAACATACACAATTTAATGCAGTCTCTCATGCTGATTCCAAATATCACATTTATTTTGCTCTTTCTCACCAATAGCCATGCAAAAATACTAATGGGTACACCATAAATAATGCCATCATCCATATTTTCTATTTATTTTGGTCGCGTTTGTAGATAGAAAACTCTGCTTAGCTTTAGATCTAACCTTAAATTTCTAGCATATAACAATTCATATTCGAAGTTTTTCAGGGATTATTTATCTATCGTTTGAAACTATTGTCACAATAAAGTGTCTATATCATATCTTGTTTGTCTAAAACAAAATAGCAAAGTATCGAAAATCGTTTGAGAAATATCCTCTAGAAATCGGTACATATCAGAAAAGCTCAATATTTTCATGTGATTTTATAGAGAATTGAACAGGGAATCGTTTAAAACCAAACGTTGTTTTCTCTCTGCAAACATGAATAAGATAAAATAAGAATACGAATGGTGTCTATCTTGTAGTAGCGCTCGTCATAGACGTACTAAACAAATTTTTAGCTGCAAAATCAATTGAATGTCGCAGTTTTCGATATCAAGTCAGAAAAAAAACACTTTGAAAAAATTTTCCGGTGTTTGATACTTTCCAAAAATTTTTTTCTGAATTTTCTTGCTTATAACATTGCTCAAAGATTTTAAATAACATATTCGTACATTAAATTCTACTAAACGATATATAAATTTTATTTTCAAAAGATTTTAACAAATCGAAATGAACCTGAGGCAATTGTCGAAAAGTCTAATGTTCATGTTGATGAAACTCTATCGCCAATAAAAAATTTGGATGATGAAAATAATATTCAATTGGATCATCAAGAATCAAACAAAAGCTTCAATCAAAATCAAGAAGAAATAATAGAATCTACCAATAATATCTCACAAGAAATACATCAGACATCAAGTGAAATTTCGAAATCTTCTATTCCAATAGACCAATCATTACCTTCTGACGAACAACTATCGCCAACGGATGATGAAGTATCATCGGAAATTCCAAAATTTCCTCATTTGTTTACACTCTCAGAAGATCAACCAATATCAATTGATTTTGGTCAATCACCGACTACATCTGAAGGAGTTCAAATATACTTAATAACTGCATCGACAGATGAGACAACACCAATCTCCAATTCGGTTCCAATCTTAACACAAATGTATCGACCTTTTTCTGCAGATGCGGAAGATGGTCAAAAACCGTCAAATATTTTAGAATCATCATCATCATCGATTCCTGTTTCAACAGATATAGAAGTATCACCTGACGTAGAAAAATCTTCCATTGCTTCAACTATTTCCGATGATCAACAAGATTCTTCAGAAATTCATCCATCATCTTCAATACAATTAGAAGATAAAGAACAATCTTCAGAAACTTATCCATCACTCAGTACAATTCTAAAAGAAGTTCAAGCAATATCGGAATTTTCACATATAGGCAAAGAAGTATTATCAGAAGCTCAAAAATCGCCGACATCACCTACTAACATTGCTTCGGTTTCATTCGATATTCATCAATCATCATCCACATCGCAAGAGAACAAACAAATAACATCAGATGTTCAACAATCATCAACTAATTCATCTAATGAACAGCCATTATTCACTGAATCAATTAATCCGTCCATCGTATTAGATAATCAACAGCAAACTTCCATATTTTCACAAGAACAATCGACATCATCAGAAATTGAACAATCTTCTATAACAGATGAAAATATTCAAGAACAAACTTCACCTATAGCTGCTAATGAATATGAATCAATATCACATGATACTACAGGTAAATCTTTGTTTCATCTTTCAATAGACTTCACTCTTTTTCAGTAAATCAAAATTCTAACATATTACATTAATTTTCTATTAGCAGAAGAAGTCGATGAGAAACAAGAATTAGTTGAGCCATCAAATGATGATGATGATAACGATGTTAAACATGATGAAACTGGTAATGTAACAACTATCGATAGTGATCACAATGATACCCGTCAATCGGCTGATTCTATTGAATTATTACCTATGGACGAACATGATACTAATCAAATTGATCGACGAGAATCATTAGCATTTAAAACACCGTGTTTTTCACAGGAAGAAGATATAAATCAATTTGAAGACAATGAATCAACATTAAAACAAGATGAAATAAAACCAGAAGAACAAATTAATTCTTCTGATCAATACGAAATTGAGGAGAATACTAAAGATAATTTTATCTCCTCACCTGGTTATTATGGTAATTTAAATGATTCTACTTATTTAAATCATGAAAAATTAAATAAACAATCATTAGTTGATGTTGAAGGTAATAATACTAATTTAATTAAAGACAAATTTAGTTCATTTCATAAAATATATTTATTTTTATTTTAGAAGTTGATTCAACTTCTTCTCGAAAATTAGAAGAAAACAAGTCTCAAAATATTAATGAATCAAATTTAGAAAGTGTTATGCAAGGTTTGTTTAGAATTTACTTATCATCAATATTTTAAGATTTTTAATATATTAGACTACTTTAATCCGCAGAAAATAGCTTTAAAAATAATTCTTCTATAATAGAACAATGTATTCAAGTGAATACATTTAGATAAATTTATAACATACTTGATTTTTTTTTAAATTCATGCCCAAAACCATACGATAGATGCAACTGACGATCGAAAATTTGAAATATTCATTTTTTATTCGAAGTTCGAAAAATTGTATCCTATCGGCTATTCATTTTTGACACGTCAGCATTCATCGAAGTTTCGAATACTTCACGAAAAGACACATCAAAAGAATACTTTGGAGTCTTCCAATCACAGACGGACGGCTCTGATCCCGGAGCGTCCGCTTCAGAAGAATGGAGCGATGAAGCTAGAGCGAAAAATGGTCGAAGCTGCCCATCTCTGCTTTCAATTAGAAGAGGTACGGATCCTTCTAGATCCGAGTTCGAGTCCAGAAGTTTAACTTTTCTCGGATCCAGATTCACAGCTTTCTACGTCCAGTAGACGCAAGCTTAATACAATAACAGTTTCAACTTCTGAGCAGAGCCCATCGGGTAGGATCCAGTTCTGAAGAAAACTTTGATGTATACAATGTATTGTGAATTTTTTCAAAATTTTGTTCGTTTTATGAAGAAAAAAAAATTGAATGTATATAGAAAACAGATAAAAAAAACAACAAAACACTTTTTGAATATATTATCCAAACTGATTTATCATCGTACTTGGATCCAAAAAATTTAAGCGACCGGATGTGAGTCCAATATTTTTTAAACAAGCGGGTCCGGATCCAAAAATCTTGGATCTGACGGGCTCTACTACTAAGCTGAAACTTTTCCAAAAAGCGATTTAGAAATGTGTTTTATTTTTATGTAATAGAATACTGCACGGGTACAACTTTTCGTACCCGTACCCTACTCGTATCTTCTCTTACTCGTGACCGTAACTTCAGTATTCACAATTGATCGAAACTTTATCATATTTTTGACTAGTAAAATGAGTTGTAATTTTAGGTGCTATAACAGGTCTTATTTTGCAATTTTCCTAATGAAGCTTAAGTGTTTTAGAACTAGTTTTTTGTGCATCGTAAGATAGAATTGTTTTACATTGAATACATATTACAAAAGGAATAATATTTTCTTTTTCATCTTGAATACGTTTGAATGACTACCATCATCCAGCACTAGCACCTGCTGGTTTATCACAAGACTTAAATTCACCACTATCTAACTTTTTTTTAATTGAATCTTTATCGATCACAGACATAATTAATATACCAAAATCCACAAAAAAACTCAATATATCATGAAATAAAGTATCAATAAATGAAAGTATTTATCATTTTCTTCGATTGGTTTCATATACATCGTTGATAGTTTTACAGAACGACCAAACATCTATCTGATCAAGTATGTCGCTACTAAACGGTAACATTAAAGTTGAGTATAACGATTCTTACTCATATCCGTTAATTTCGTACCCGTACCCGTTAATGTCATACCCGTACCCAGGTACGGGTACCCGACCCGCGGGTTGCAGTACTCTATTATGTAACACCAACTGATGAAAACTAAAACTGAAATTTGTGAGCGTTCTTAACAACGACCAAGGCATAATGAAGTTTTATGTTATCAGTCTTTAAATATTGATTTAATACTTTATCATAAAAATCAGTTGGTTATCAAATTTCATATTTACCAAATAAAGTCATTATAAAACATTTGAAATTCGAGAAAGTAGTCAGAGACATATACAAGAAATCTATACTTTTTTTCTTATTAGATCTTCGTTGTGTATATTCTGAATTGGCTAATAATGAAGATCTAGTTGAAATCGATGATAATTTTCCAGATAATTTAATTGATCGTCTTGAATTTGGTGATACATTTATACGAACATTATTCGATGATCTTGTTAGAAAATATATTGTACAACCAGCTAAAGAAGAAAGTAAAAAATTTTTTTTTTTGTTTTTTTTAAAATTCATCTTCTCTTTTGTTTTAATTTATTATAAGTTCGTTCAAAAACATTTGATTGGATTGAATTTCGTGATATACTTTTTCCTATTCTAACTGGTCGTTATATGAAGAGACATATAAGAAAATTATTTGATTTATTTGATATAAATAAAGATAGTTATTTATCATTAGAAGAAATAATTGGTATAAACAAAAAAAAAATTTGTTTTCTTTACAAAAAAAAAAATAAAATTTTTTATCTTTAGAATTACTAGAACTTCTTCAAATTAATAATGCAACTGAACTTGCATATAATATAATTAATGAATTAGATAAAAATCAAGATCGTAAAGTAACTGTTGAAGGTAAGAATATCTTTAAACAAAAAAAAAAAAAATTTTTTTTTCTTTAAATATATTATTTTAAATTTTTTAGAATTAATAGAATCTATTCAACAAATCGATGATGTAAAGAATAATATTCTTTCAGATGATATTCAATATAAACATTGGTATATTCATCATTTAACAGATGAAGAAACTAATGATATTCAATCGATATCATTAAATTCTTCATCGAAAATCAATGATGATATTATAGAAATGATTAACAATGGAATGATTTGTAAAAAAAAAACAAATTCTCTTTTTGTTTTTTTTTTTTATTGATTTTTGTTTTCTTTCTTTAGTACTTGGTCGAATATTTAAAAGATTAGGTCCCAATATTGAACATAAACAACTTGATAGTAATAAACCAACATTATCAATGAAAATAACAAATGAATTCATACATAATAATATACAAATATCAAATGATGATCTTCAATCATTTATAGAATTATATTTATATAAAAAACGACATTCCGGTTGAATTTGTTTTTTTTTGTTTTTCTAATTGAGAAATATTTTTCTATATTTAGATTGTTTTATTAGTTGGATTGAATTTCGAGATTTATTTTTACCATTTGTTGATGGTGGAATGTTTTTAAAAGATGATATTATACGTTGGTTTGATATATTCGATGAAAAACATCAAAATATAATTATTCAAGAACAGTCAATATATCTTTAACATGTATAATAAAATATATATTTTTTTTAATTTATTTATAGAATTCTTCATTTACTTCGTCTCTTACAAATACCAAATTCAGAAAATATACTCAAAAAAATGATCGAAATTTCAAATACATATACAAATAATAATGATAATTCATGGACATTGGAAGGTAACTTTATTGAAAATCTTTTTCAACAATACTAAATTGATATATCATACCTACGAATATAATGCTGACATAAAGTCAAGTTCTTCTTATTTAGATGAATGTGTTCAGAGATTGAAAGTAAATAATTTCGTTAAGATTAAAGATTGAACTTTTGTATTATATCATCATAAATAAAAATGGTTACTTATGAAGGAACTACGCCAACTGTAATCTCCCATTTGAATTCATATTCGACTCACAAGGAAGTCTCAGTAGGACTAAAAAATAATCGTAAATGATTTTGTGTTCACGAAGCTCTAGAACTGAGTTATGACTGTTTTATTGAAAAATCAAATAATAATAAAATTTCGACCTGAAATTCAGGTTTAATGATTCTTAGAGTTGTAGTCAAAACGAATGTTTTTTTGCTGAGATATTGAATATTTAATAAATAGTTACTTGCTACAAACATATCACAAAAAATTGAGTTTGCTTGGAAATTCATTATCTCGACAAAGGAATATTCTTTTCAACTGCAACTGTAAGAATTATTAAATCTGAATTACAGATTGAAATTCTATTATTTGATTTTTTCAATAAAACGGTCATAACTCGACTCCAAATGTCCATGAGCACGAACTCTCCATCGACAAAAAATACAAAAAGAATATTATTCTCATCGATATTCCTTTCACCGGTAAATCCATTCAAGTTCCTAGAAAACAGCTGTCCGCGCTCGCCAAACAAATCCAACCAGCCGCCCTTCTACAACCTATTCAGAGATCCTCTCCTACAATTGAACAATTATCTCACAAAAAAGACCTCATCCCTAAAGAATTAGTCATAAAATGTTTAAATTGCTCAGCTGCGTATATCGGAAAGATCAACCGGTAGGCATGTAAAATACTTAAAGAACATGAAGCACCGCATCTGACACTAATAAGACTTCATTCATCATTTACATCTGATAAAAATAACAATAACGCAGTTCAAAACCTTAAACTAAAAAAACGAAAACAAGCTCAACTTACTACAAATAAGATCTCTGCTAGCAAAAACACAAATATTTCTATTGAATCGTGTAAAATCACATCTGCACTTCGTAAACATGAATTAGAAACAAAGTATAATATTGACTGGAATAGCTGGAAGATAATCGGCAGAAATTCGTATCTATATCGTTTTCTTATTCGTGAATCCCTTGTAATCTTAGCAATCAAGCCAACATTGAATCGGACCGTTAGATTTGTTCCTCTAGGATTTTTTGGATTGATAGAAAGCGTTACAGAAAATCTGAAAAATCATATCTTGACCTATCAGAAATCTAAGCATACCATTTGATAGAGTTCGTCGAGTTATATTTGAAACGCGCTAACTTCACTTATGTGTTTAAAAAACTCTTGTCAAACAGATTAATCTAATCTTCTCCTACTCATTACCTTTTATTTTTCGACGAAACAGAAACACTTGTAATTTTATTTTCGATGAAACAGGAATATAAAGAAAAAACAAATTTGACGAAACAAGAAACGCAATTAAGCTTTCGACGAAACGAGACCTGGTCTTTTTTTACTATCAGTTCATACAGAGAGGAAGTATCTTTAAAGCACACATCCTCCACATCCGTTAAAAACCTTAATTTTGAGATTTTTATGTGGTTGAATAATCCTCGTTGTTTACTTTCAAAAACACAATATTATGCATTCTGACATAAATATGCATTCTCTTCTCTTCGATTTCATTCTTTCATGTTCATAATCATTTCTTTGTTCTAGTCATCTTTTGTCTATTTAAGTAATTGATGTAGGTGTGAATGAATAGAGCTGGTTGTAGGCGAGTGACATAAATATCCACACATTATTTTTCCTTCTAAACTCTAGTAAATTCAATTTTTCATTTTGTTTCTATTTAGAATTAATCTTTGCTTTGGAACATGTCGATGAAATAACAACACGAATTCTTCCAAATAATCAACAAATACTATCATATGACCTCAATTGGCTTACAAAAAATGTATTCTAAATATATGTATACATAATTCTGTATTGCTTGATGTTGTTATTCAGTGACATTAGTACAATAGATGCACTATACAAATATATGTATGCTTTTGAAATGAAATAGTTTAGATATGCACAATGAAAATTTTTTTCACTATATTTTAAATAAAAACAAAACACGTAATATTCATTGCAAATTAAAAAATTAATACATCGAAACAGTTTTGCTCGTTCTGTACTATTGTTGTACCAATCGAGTGTTGATGACTTTTGATGATGTGTTTTTTTTTATTCACCTTGACACTATGCACCGGTAGATTCCATAGAACCATACGACGTTGAATTGTTCTCACTATAAACAAGACCAATTGTATCGTTTTTCTAATTAGAGACAAAAAAAATAATTTTATTTTATATGGATTAATTAAAATTAAATAATTACTCCAGTAGTACACATATTACTTGCATCCGCTAAAACACAATGCAAAAAAAAGTTAAATAAATATAAGAAGAATTTTATCTTACAGTCAGTAGTATATGGATCAAACATTGTATATAGATTACAAAGATTCTTCTTAGCTAAGTTTTGATTTTTTTTTTTATATAAAATTTCATGTCTTTATATAGTCTAGTAAGATATGATTTTTGTACAATGAAAGAAAAGAAAAGAAAAGATTTTTTTCTTCTTTATTTAATGACGCGATAAAAACGCTTTGTGTATGATTTTCAAAGAATTTGACGTTTTTTTCAAGTGTCTTCTACGAAATCAGACATTCGTACCTGGATTCATACGAAAATTGATCAATAATGTTGTCGTTTTTGTGGTTTCGAATAACAACGAAACAAATCTATTCTTATTAATCATGTAATAAAAATATTATCATAATCACTGAAATATTTTAAATATAGGACCAAAAAAAAATCATTGAAAAGAACACAAAATAATACTCACGTGCACTATATACGTACAAATCAAAATACACTAAAAGGTAAATAATTCCATATAGACAATTAAAGTAATATAAAATAAAACAAGACACCGTGACAAACAAATTATTTGTAATAATATCTAGAGAATAATGATGCAAAATTTCCATGATTTATTTTTAGAAGAAGTACAATTAATTATGTCTGTATAACATAAAAAGAATGAGGATTATTCTTCTAGATGGTTAAATTTACTTAGAATTTATTATATATTATCTAAAAATTAAGTTCAAAAGGTTCTAACAAAGGAAATGGCGCTTATATGTCCATAAAGTTATCAGCATATTCGAGTATTTTTAAAAAATATTCGATTCAGGAGTTGTCCTGGCCAATTAAATAACTGTCCTGAATGCAGAATTGAATTTCGGTTCGAATGGCCGTCTCAGATATCCAATAAAAAATCATATAGTGCCACAAAAAAAATTAAAACTACTTTTTATGCCCGAACAATAGAGCTAAAACGCGGATTTCAGCATAATATTCAAAATACTACTTGTCCCACTAAAACAAATGACTGTCCTTGAT